CTATCTATCTATCTATCTATCTATCTATCTATCTATCTATCTTATCTATCTATCATCTCTCTCTCTCTCTCTCTCTCTCTCTCTCTCTCCCTCCCTCCCTCCCTCCCCCCCTCTCTCTCCATCAATATTTACAATTGAAGGAAATCTGCTGAAAAATTGATTAAACTGCTAGCCTTGCATAACAGAGTCCCAATCTGAAGTTCATGCTCAGCAATGGTATATCTGCTTTTACTTTGTTTGTGACGTGGTGTGGAAATTCATTACCTTAAGAAAAGTTTTATCACAAATGAGCCTGACTTTCCTGCAAGGTTATTAAGAGAGGGTGTTAAATAGACTCTGCGCCAGATCATGGGCCATTCTTGCAGCTTCAGCTATATGAAATGCAATGCCTCTGGAGATAATTGGTACCTTAGCACCTGGTTTTAGAAAGCTTCTCAAAACCTTTCTTTTGAAAGTGCGCCTTAACTGCTTATTCGGATTACTAAAATGATAGATAGATTGGTGGATTGATTACGCTTAGGCATAATATCTTTTATTTTAGGAAATAATTGATTTTTTTTACATTCTATAACTATACTTCTGAAAGAACATCTCAAGCAATTCTATCTGACTCATATTTTAGCAATAAATTGGTACCATTCCCAGTGCAGAATTGCCTGACTGACCACTTCCTGCTCAGCATTTGAAAATATTCTCACCTATAGTGAATAGTTGATACAAATGTTCACAATCTTGTACATATTTTATGAATGTCCTGCAACTTAGAATGCTGACAATTATTAAAACAGCCACTTCTTTTCTCTTTCAATATACAATATCTGGAAGGAAGGGTGGAGGGTTGCACTCATGAAATTAATATAAGATTGTCAAGATTTAGACAAAACGTTCTGTATAACAGTCTTAAAGTAGTAGTCCAACATATTGGGTAGAGTCTGAGATGGGTGAAAGTTGGCCTACAGCAATAAGAAAATGAAGATTTAATGTACTTGGTTGCACAATGTTTTGACTGACAGACTGATAGACTGATTGGATTTTGTGCCATCAAGTTGTTGATTCTTATATTGATATTTTTTCTTCCTGAAGCAATATTTCACAGAATGATTTTATTGGGGAAAAATGCCACTATTTGATATATTGGATTTTTAATTCCCTTCTCTTACATAGTGTCAATTTTGGTGTGAAGAGGCAAATGCAACAGTACTTAGGGTTGGTAGATACTCAACAGAGTGCAAAACAAGGGAAGCAGTAGAAATACTCTACAAGCAATTCAAGAAGTTTATTGATCCTGTGATCCCCCAGCAAGAGGAAAGAATCCAGCAGCTAACTCACCTTGCTAAAGACTTATACGGTAAAAACTCAAAACTTAAAAATCTGATGAGTACACTTTGAATATTGAGTCGCTGTTATTCCCAGATGGATGAATATTAGTTTGTTAAAAAAATATAAAGATTAATACTAAAGTGCAGAGCCATAAAAATATCAGACATAGATTTCAAAATCTGCAATCTGGTTTTTGACACTGATACTTCTGAAAACAGCTCCAGAATAAAGCAGCCCAAAATAAGGGAATATGCAGGATAATGACATTTCAACTAGTCAATGAGCTCTTTCCCTCCCTCTTTCTGTTTTTGTGTGGAAAAAGATGAGACATTTTTGTTACTGCAGGAGATTGCAGGCTACAGGTAGGGCTATAATTTTCTGCCCTCCTTCTCCGCATTTGAAGTCAGCAAAAGTGATAGTCTTTAAGGTTAGGGAGTGTAAAACGAGTAGTGACACAGAGGTCCTAATAATTTCTACTAAGGAAAGTTAAATTAAATGTATGACTTTTCCCCCCAATCTATGTACTTGCGTCCCGGCTTTTTGACACTTTCATACAATCACTAGCATTGAGAGATAAGACCACAACTGTAATTTTCAGTAAATTTATATCATCAATACTTGCAACAAAGGGACTATGTATATTTATCACTGAGACTGAAAATTGGAATGATAAATGTCAATTTTTTTAAACTTTTAACATTAAGCCAAAATGTTATAGTGATTAAACTGTTGGACTAGAAGCTACTTCATGTTCATAGAAGCTCATGGTAACTTTGGACCAATCTCCTCTCTCAGCCAAATCTGCCTTGCAAGATTATTGGAAAAGTTGGAAGAGGAAGTACCCTACACCCTACTTTGAGTTCCATACAAAAGGCTGTATATAAATTTAATAAATACGTTTATTTAAAAAGTAGCTCCTGTTTCATAATACCTTAATTATCTGGAAGAAAGCTTCACTGAACTTACTACTGGGACTTATTTCTAAGTAATCATGCAAAAAGGGTTCTAGGCAGCGGTGAAATTCAAATTTTCTTACTACGGGTTCTGTGGGTCTGGCTTGATGGGTATAGAAGTGAAGGATATTGTAAAATCTCCATTCCCTCCCCACTCCTAGGGGAAGGATACTGCAAAATCTGCATTCCCACCCTATTCCAGGGGAAGGATATTGCAAAATCTACATTCCCACCCTACTCCAGGGGAAGGATACTGCAAAATCTACATTCCCAACCTACTCCAGGGGAAGGATATTGCAAAATCTCCACTCCCACCCTACTCCGGGGCCAGCCAGAGGTGGTATTTGCCAGTTCTCCAAACTACTCAAATTTTCCACTACCGGTTCTTCAGAACCTGTCAGAACTTGCTGAATTTCACCCCTGGTTCCAGGGCCTGGAAGATAGGTGCAGATTTTCTGGGATCCAGTCAAGTTTCAGCTTTTCATTCACATTGTTGTGGATAATGCAGATGTCCTATCATTCCTTTCTGTAAACTACAGGTAATGAAGAAGGAAAGAAGCACGTTGAAAAAATAACAGCAAAACACAAAGACGTTCTTGACTCTATCAGTGAACTGTGTAGCTCCTTGACAGAACTTGAAGACAAGCTTGGGGTAATGTTTTCTTCCTATAGAAAAAAAATCAATTTTACAGCAGAATCTATTAACTATTTATGCCATTAATATATGCTGTGGAGATGCAGGACATAGATTTGAGGGTAGTGAGTAAGTGAGCCAGCTACTGAATAATAAAGACATAAATATTCAGGGTATGCAGAAAGGTCCTTCCAGGGGGTACTTCCAAGACAATAGCTGAGGATCCTTTGGTGTCAGTGGATTTCTAAACACGTGACACAGGATTCTATCCATATATTGGATTCTAATCTGAAGAGTCGAGAAGCCAGAAATGAGTTTAAAAATGATATTCAAATGCTGAGCCATTATGGTGTCTGTCTTTACTTGGGGTAGGGCATGTCTGAATAAGATTTGGCACCAATTTCAGGGAAAACTGCTTTGACACCTCTCTAAGGCAGGAGTGTCAAACTGGCAGCCTATGGGCCAGATACGTCATGTGCAGGCCAGGCCTACCCCAGCTCCATAAAGGGGGAAAACGTCTTTGATGGCAACATGACGTGGGGAGTTTGACACCTGTTTCTCTAAGGCCTTCCAGTATGTCCCAATGGCTTGTGGGCAGATTAACATAATCCATGGAAGTGTTTTGTCTCACTCCTTCAGTAGCAACCCTTCTTTTAAAACAGCATACTGCATAAAGTCTACTGCTGTTTTATCAAATTTTGGATTACAGGATTTCTTTCATGTTTTGCTGTTTGGTCTATGGAGATTCTCAGTCATCCAGGTCATGGTTGTCCCGAAGGTGCTTTTTCAAGAGGCCACTGGGCTTCCTGGTTTTTCTTTGAAGACGTTTCACTTCTCATCCAAGAAGCTTCAACTCTTGAAGCTCTTGGATGAGCTCTTTTTCAACCTCTTGAAAAAGCACCTTAAAATGGGGAAAGTTAAAAGTGAACATGGGTATTGTAATAGATCCCTGAACTTTGCAATGAGAAGATGTGGCTTAGAGACCTAACAATGAGGAAGGAAAGAAAAAAGTTGGGCTGTGAATGCCTGTCCCACCGGGGGGGGGGGGGGGGTTGTATGTTTAAAATTGTATTTGTATCTGTATGTTTTACGCTTAAAAAATGTATAACTAATGAATGCCGATACAAAAGGCTGTATATTTACTTTATATTGTTATGTATGTTTTGTCTTTTCTTATGTTGTTGTATTTTTCTTTCTGTTTTTAAAGGTAATAATGTTTAATAAAAATTATATTTAAAAAAAAAAGGAATTGAAAAAAAAGAAAAAGAAAAAGCACCTTTGGGACATTTTGCTGTTTCCTATTTCTATGGGACTTTTTAGTGATATGAGCTACCTAGAAGGACCCAGCTTGATATAACTGTAAACATGACAAATGTGCCATGAACAAATACAAAGATTATATTGTGTTGCTTTACGTGAATCTGAATCCCAGATCTCCTGCTGCAAAAGCTTGCATTTTCTTGCTTGTGTTGATAAAACATCACATCCCCTGCTGTGGAAAATTGTTTTTATTTTGTTTCTACTTTTGGCTTTGTTTCACAGGAAGATTCATTAAAGGGGAAATCACCAAATTCTAATAAATGTGATGATGAGCTAAGAACAGAACAAGACAGTCAAAAAGAGAAGATAGATAAAGAGGATGTAAAAGAAAGAATATATGAGCTGAAGAAACAGGTTTGTACTTTTTTCCCCCCGAAGTAAATGTTGTGTAACTCAAACTAAGGGCTGGTATTAGGGAATTAATTCAAGCATGAAAATTCTTAAAAGAAAAATCTTGCTTGGAAAATATATAATTAGGGAAAGCCCTCCCACACTGAATTATTTGCTTTCTTACAGTTAAAATGAATCCATTCATGTCATAAACATGTGTGCTTTTGAGAAGGCTTTTTAACATTATCTGAAAGCCCATTTATAACTAAGATGGAAAGCACTGTTATTTCATTCAGCGTGGAAAAGGTAACATTAAGAAAGATAGATGGTGTTGCTTTCCAGAGGGGGGATAAAGTCAGGTTAATCTTTTTCAAGAAATCCAACAGAGTCTTGTGGAACCATAAAGACTAATTAAAGAGTAATATATTTATTACATGTACCATTTCATGATTCATGAAGGATAGATTTGTCTGAGGAGTATTATATTTGTGTATATAATGCTGGAAAGTAGGATAGGTAATTATTACGGTCAAAGAACAGCAATACATATTAGTTTCCACACTATATCAAAAAATACTAACATTAAAATATAATTAAAAAATATTGACATTAAAAGTGGATAATAACATAATGGTCCAAAGATTGTTAAAGGTATGTCCAGATAATTGGTACAAGATGGTACTATACCTCTGTAGCCAATTTTTTTCTTATGGACATTACAGCAGCACAAGTAGGATAGGGTAAAAGGAAATATATAAGAAAAGGTGGAAATGGTCACTTCTGGACAAACAATACTTTTGTCTCTCAGTCCTGGGAATTCAAAGTTGACTGGTGCTGTCCTATACATTTGGATCTGGGCATTCATACAACTCACAGGGAGACAAATTTTTCTGGAGTGGGGCAGAAATTCTTGAACATGTAATGTTTAGGCATTGCCACTGCCTCTCACTAACAAACTCTAACAAAGTTTTATTTCTTGCCTCTGCTTTTAGAACAGAGGTGAGCAGAAAGTGTATTAAGATCGCTTGACAGATCTCTGAATGATTTCTAGTAGGGGAAATCATAGTTTAAACAGGAAAATTCCTCAGCTAAAGGTTTAATGTGTTTTAAAGGAAAGGAAACTAACAATTTTGAATTATTGATGAATAATTGGATTTGCATAACTTCCTGGGAGCAACAAATATCAAACATGGGAGTAAAAGACCTTTACTCTTTACTCTTGATTTTTAAAATATGTAGTTGGGTTAGCCTCCTATGTCCTACGCTAGCCAAGCAGGTGCATTGAGAAATAAAACATTTTTTCTATCCTGAATGTCTGTAGAAATGGAGCTCCATAATATACCACAAATACAGATGTCCCATTCATTATTAAGGCAAATAGCTAGCTATAAAATTATCCTTCATGATAATAACATTCAAGCTAGTGGCCATCTCAATAACTATCTTTTCAGAATCTGTTATAATCGCAGATCACTGGGGGGACACAAAGTTATGGGAGAAACAGAATATTTCCCTTCTCAGTATAACATTTATGTTATCCTAGTGCAAATAGAAACATTAGATGTTATTTCAGTAGTACCTTTCTTTCTTCATTGCATTTAGTAAAAGTAATCTGCAGTCTGACATTTAAATAATTAGCTTAATAAATTAAAAGGCATAATGATTTTTTTTCAGGGATGCAAACTTAGAAAACATTGCTACAATTGCAATAAAATATATATTTCCAAAAAATAGAAAAACCTCAGGAATTTCTACATTTGCTCAGAATTATATCTTCTTTAAAAAGATTGTTTTAAATTGGACTAAATGGGCCTTCTGACAGATGATTCATTACATCTTTAAAATTTAATATATGAAAGAAATATGTGAAGAAAGATTAGGTAAAATAGGTTTTATAGACATTATTTAAAGTCTTTTTTGCATCTTCTCTTCCCTTTTTCTTCACTTTCTTTCCCTTCCCTTCCCCTCCCTTCCTTTCCCTTCCCTTCCCTTCCCTTCCTTTCCCCTCCATTCTCTTCCTTTCCTTTCCTTTCCCTTCCCTTCCTTTTCCTTTCCTTCCCTTCCCTTTCTTTCCTTTCCCTTTCCTTTTTCCTTTATCCTCCATTCTCTTCTCTCCCTTTCCCTTCCTTTCCCTTCTCTTCTCTTCCCTTCCCTTCCTTTCCTTTCCCTTCCCTTCCCTTCCCTTCCCTTCATTTCCTTTCCTTTCCTTTCCCCTCCCTTCCTTTCCTTTCCCTTCTTTCCTTTCCCTTCCTTTCCCCTTCCTTCCCTTACTTTCCCTTCTTTCCCTTCCCTTCCTTTCCCCTCCATTCTCTTCCCTTCCCTCCCCATCCTTTTTTTGCTTTTAAGGAAGAGAAGAACTTGGCTGAGACATCAATTATCTGCCCAGCTGTTGAGGATTCTATTTCACAGGACACAGAGCTATCTTTTGCTGCCAAGGAGGAAAGCTTTCACACTGAGCTCCTGGCAGAAGATGCACTCTCTGGAGAGGAATATGAGTGTATATCTCCTGATGATATCTCATTACCTCCACTTTCTGAGACCCCAGAATCCAACCTTCTGCATTCGGAAACAGAACTAGAAGAACCACATAGCAGTAGCTCCCGTAGTGTGCATGTCAGTTCTTACACTGTGCAAATGCCAATAAGTGCTGGCAGTAAAACAATGGAAGATGATTCTGATCCCTTAACCTTTATTGCTTCTGCTGATGTGCCTGGCCACAGGAAGGAGTGCATATCAGAGCAGCTAGGAAGTTTTTCTTCTCCCACCCTAAGCAGCCATTCCAAGGGCAAGATGGAATCTCTATTTGCTCATAGTTCTCCAGAAATGCCCGCCACTTCCCCCGTTTCCTCTACGTTCAAGACAAAGGCTTTCTACTGCATGAGGAGTGAAGTGCACGAGACCCATTTGCAATGCCGTGAGCTTCCCAGAAGCATGAAGGAAGCCCAGAGCAAATTGCATGACGGAAATAACTCTACTAAAAACCAGGCTAGGCTGCATGCTTCATCCAATGCGTTTTCAGGTCTCTTTCAATCAGACTCCACGAGAAACTGTCAGAGGGAGATGGCTACCGGAGAAGAGGCTAAAAACATATCTGAAAAGAACAGCAAGGTCAGCGTCTCTGGACAGGCACCTCACTTCTCCAAGCTTCTGTCTAATGTAACTGTTATGGAAGGTGCTCCGGTGACTTTGGAAGTAGAAGTAACAGGATTCCCAGAACCTGCATTGACCTGGTGGGTAGCTTACAATGAAAAAACTTAAATATAATTAGGCTAATCCAGCAAACACAAATCTGAAAATCAGATAGTCTCGCTAGCATTCACACCACATTTCCACGTAATTCCATTCCCACAGTGTTTACACAATATTAGCACTTACTGTCAGGTTCAGATTAATTCATGCACATTCAGTCTATATGTATTAAATAGTATATGAAGATGAGTGAAGTTAAAACCTTTCTATTTAGCAATAGAACATTCCAGCTATTAAACATTACAACTCCTTTAATAAGAATTGAATTCTTAGAAATTCCTCTGCATTTGAAGATTAGCTTTATTGTAGCTACAGAAACCAAGTAGAGAAGAAATGCTATTCTCTGTGTTGGATTCAGTTTACCTCATATCTAGCCACTGATCCATATTCAAACTGGACCTGTAAGTCCATAGATGTAAGCTCCTAGCTTGTGAAATTTGCCAGAGAATAAGATTCACATTATACTTTGGTAGCATTAGGGATGTGGTGGCTCAGTGGCTAACATGCCAAGCTTGTCGATCAGAACAGTCAGCAGTTCAGTGGTTTGAATCCCTAGTGCTTTGTAAAGGAGTGAGCTCCCATTACTTTTTCTAGCTTCTGCCAACCTAGCAGTTCGAAAGAACATAAATAATGCAAGTAGAAAAATAGGGACTGCTTTGGTGGGATGGTTCTGTGTGCCTTCGGCATTGAGTCATGCCGGCCACATGACCACAGAGACGTCTTAGAACAGTGCTGGCTCTTTGGCTTTGAAACGGAGATGAGCACTGCCCCCTAGAGTTGGGAACGACTAGCACATATGTGTGAGGGGAACCTTTACCTTATACCACTCATAATTAAGAGACAATAGGCATCAGGATTTTATCTATTTGCTTTGAAAATGGTAGTCCAAAAGTCCTTTCGTTTCTGCAGCTCCTTTCCAAAGAAAGGTGGGAGAACCAAGAGGGTATAATTGGCCAACTAACTAGAGAGTAAAACAAGGTTTATAATATTGAAGGATAATGAAAAGAAGCTTTCCTGGGAGTATTTACGGGAGAATATATACACTAAATAAAGCTGGTCTCTAGCGCACAGAAAAGTTGATGCTAAATCCCAGAGTTGGCAAACAGTAATTAAATTGCATTTATCTTTTGTGTGTAATTACAGCACATTCATATTTACTGCTATTTCTGGCTATAACTCTAAATCCAGAAAGGTTAAGAATTTATATAAGGAGTCCTAGGGAATGAAAAGAATCCCAATCAAGCTTTGATTTTAAAAAGGAAGAGTTTAGAGCAGAAAAAAAGGCCCATGTTGCAAATTAAGTTTAGAAAACTAATGAGTCAAGCAATAAAATCAGTTGAACCTCCAATCATCACCTCTTCCATGGTGCTCAAATGATAAAGCTGGTAACTCAAATAATTCCACATGAGCAGAGTTTCAAAGGGGTTTTTTCTTACTATTGTAAATAGTTGGGATATAATTTAACAAAATAAAAACTGATGATCTGTCAGGGAGTTTTATAATGCTGGCAAGAGCTGCAGAAATCTAACCCATTTTACATTCTATTCTGGGCCTCACTTTTATCAGATTTTTGCCTCGTATTTTGTTCAGAGCCTATTTTTCGCCACAGTAGCCACCTTATAAAAGAGATTGGCAGGAGAAAAAGTGACTGGTCCAAAGTTGCATGGGGAAAACTGCCCTGGCTGAAGGTGGAATAGAACCTGTGTCTTCTCACTCCAAAACCTGTATGTTGACCTCTAGACCACTCTGACACTAGTTTAATGTTTCTGATCTTTCTTTTGAAGGGTAAGCTACAAAGATATGATACACAGTTTGAAAGGGTCTGGTAGGCTTGCTCACCCTTGTTGGGGTGCAGCTTCTCTAATTTCCAACCCAACGTCAAATCGTACAATGGCTAAATCAGTGTTTCTCAACCTTGACAACTTTAAGTCCTGTGGACTTCAACTCCCAGAATCCCCAGAATCCCCCAGCCAGCACAGCTAGGATATCTCTAGCCAAGAAATTCAAGAATGAAGAGAAAGTGACAGATCTTTATGTATTAAGCCTAATGTAGAACTTAGTAAATTCATGGTAGAGTGGAAGTGAAGAGAAGTCAATAAGATCCAGATTGATTCTAAATTCATCTCATATGGGTGGTTATTTCCCTTCACCTTTCCAGAGTTGCCTCTTTTTTGTTATAATTTTTGATTTTTTTTCCAATCATCATATTCTATCCTATATGTGCTAAATCAGAAAGAAAGCAGAATTTGAAAGAGAAAAACATTTTCTTCATGAGTATCTATAACAAATCTGAAAGCAACTAACACATTTGATAAAATTTGCTAACAATTAAAAGGTTTTTTAAAAAAAATAAACTGTCATTACAGCTTGCCTGAATCACTAATCCAATTCTTAGAGTTGTTTCTTTCATTCTTTCCTTTTAAAATACCTTATCACTTTCCCTTTGGATCATTAATGCTCCCAACCTAAATACTTCATTTGACACAAAATGCTATTACAGCTTGTCCAACTTCTTAAGAATAAACCGAGTATTATAAAAACAATTTATAAAGAAACCTTCTTAATAAAAAAAAAAGAAATGTCTCAGTAAAAATTTGTTATGTTCTAATATTGGTGATCATTGAAGGAATTTTTTTCTTTTCTTTTTAACAATAACAACAAAATGAAAGCAATCCTGTATTTAAAGGGCATTAATAAATACCAGTAAACTATTATGTAGAAAACTAGTAGGAGCCGGGTCATAAAGAAATGACTAGCCTTAGACTGACAAAAGGTAGTGGATGCCAGATTTTCATCTTTTTTGCCCCACTTCTTGATGCTTGGAATGAAAAGAATCAGCTAGGAAATTGTAAAGGTTGGAGAGTAATCTTATATTGCCTCTGTAGGTATAGGTAGAGGAGAGAAAGAGAGAGAGAGGAAGGGAGGGAGGAATGGAGGGAAGAACGGAGCGAGATGATAGATAGATGATAGAAAGATAGATAGATAGATAGATAGATAGATAGATAGATAGATAGATAGATAGATAGATA